CCCCAAATCCCTAACTCCCGTAGTGTAATATTATGGTGGGCTCGTCCCATTAATTGCTATTAGTAACTTTTGTTTCTTCTTTTATTTTATTAATTTAGCTAATGACTTAAATGTCCATAGTTAAAAACGGTCATTACATAAATATCTTAATAAGCATTAATTAGTGATTTGATAAAAATAATAACTAGCTAACCTGCTATTACAAGTTCAATTCACTTTGTATTTTGCTCTTTAATGTAAGGCTAATATGCTAATTTGTACAGATAATAATTAAAGGTGAAATAACACAACATAGAATCGAGGTATCCACTATAGAAATTAAAGTTCACATATAGTATTGGTAAGCTCAAACATATAAGTAGCTTAAATTAACCACTAAGTCCTGAAATAGTTACAACTATGATAAGTCTCACATACAAATTAGAAACCATATTATAAATTAATTGTCTGTGACCATACATACCACAATAATTAATATTTATATTACATAAAACCATAATAATTATATCACTTTGAAATAGAAGGGACATGTGATTCCCAGGACCAAACATCAGAAACACAGCTAACAGCATCACTCATAGCACCACCATTCTTGAAATTCCGGTTGAATGCATTGACATTTTCGACTCCGATCACCGGATTCGGGCCGGAAATTGCACTCCACTCGTTTTCTCCGGGCACGGTGATGGTCGGAGAGACATTATCGAGTCGACATAAACTATTGTTGTTGGTACCAAGTGGTTGAGGAGTGTTCAAGTAATTTTGAAGAAGATGACTTAAACTTGTTGAGGTTAATGAACCTCTAGCCACCATGTCCTCAGCCAACTTCACCTGCATCGCATAAAAAATTAGTATTAGAATCTGCACGATACGCAAATACTATTTAAATATATTAATCATGTTAAATTACGATTTGACTTTTTTAAGCACATTATAAAATATCAAATGCGTCATGCAAAAGAATCACATAAATTGACCATTAGTCAAGTCATTTTTCTCAAAGGCTAAATGGATTAGTTTTAATAGTAATGGTATAAAATTAATGGGTTGGATGGAATTTGAGCGTGTTAAAATAGGTTTGAGTTAATATATGAGTAAAGTCATTACCCACTCAAAATTTAGTTGCATTAAACCGGGTCAACTTGGATTAAACAACGCGTTATAAATCCAACCCTCAAATCAAAATTATTTTTCCTTTTATAATCTATTTAATTACCAATCAAACTAACAAAAACTTTTCAATCTAATCAATCAAACTCAAAATAATATTTTGCTAAAAAAATTAGTATGTTTTAATGTTCTTAATAAGTTTTTTAATAGACAGTCCAAATTGGCCCGAACTTTTAGGTGGGGTAATTTGGGTTATACGAAAATTGACCTGCAAATATATATATATATATATATATATACACATAACTTTTCTTAAACTTAAGCGATGTATTTTCATGGGAAAAATTAAACCTCTATTTTGAGGAACCATTTAAAAACATTAAAATGGAAAATTAAAAAGGAAGAATAGTGGGTACAATACTTTGGCTCTTAATGCTTCCACATCTGATTTGAGCACTCTATTATTAGTCAAAGCATCTTTATATTGTTGAGTAGCATCTGCAAGCTGCTTGAACAATGATTCATTTTCACCTCGAAACTGATCAACCTGAGAAAATATGTACGTAAAATACCTCAAAAAAATAATGTAGAAAAAGGAGAACTTATAACAATTAACAGTAGTAAAGTATTTATATTACAATAAATATTAGTCTGATCTTGGTACATAGCCTAAATTGCTAATTAGGATGAATGTGTGAACTATCAATATGATGTTATTTGAAGGGGAGTCTTGGAGCAACGGTAAAGTTGTCTCCGTGTGATTTATAGATTACGGGTTCGAGCAGTAAAAGTAGTCATTAAGGCTTGCATTAGGGCATATACCACATCCTAAGGGGTGCGGCCATTTCCCAGACCCTACGTGAATACAGAATACTTTATACACTGGACTGTCTTTTTTTTCTTTTAAAGTCTAGTTTTTGACATACTACTCTGTCTTAATCCCATTTTGTAAAAACCAAAAATCTACTCTTATTAGGTACTCAATAATATTTTTCTAATTGTTCTATATTTTAAACCATTTTGGAGGTTTGAACCGAAGAGGATTTAGTAACTACTATCACTAGATTTCAGCTCAAAATGGTTGTAATAAGAAAGTTCACAAGCATATAATGAGTTCATAATTAATTCAATAACCATATATATGAGATGATTATTGACCTAGATATAATTAGTCAAGATGTGAATTAACATTAATATGAAGAGACAAACAAATTTATACACAGATCTCTAATTTAAATACTTTCTCTATAAATTTAAATACTTTTATATGTTCCTAATAGAATAATAAGATAAACTCTTATAAAAGAATTAATATTTATTTAAATACCTGATTTTCAAGATCTGCTAAATGTGCTTGCTTTCTTCTTCTCGAACGCCTTGCAGATTCCCTATTAGAGGCTTGCCTAAAAATTGAAATCACCATATCCACATTTATTAGCCAAAAATAAAACTCTATATATAGACAAATAATTATTATTTTTAATCAAGCCAACGACAATGACATTTTGGAGATCATTGGTCTATTTACAAAACATGCTTTTTACTTCCAATTTTTTATCCTACTTTAGGAATAATACATATCTTATTTGGAAGTACACGTGTACCATTATTATCGTAATTAGATTAACATAATAAGATCAAATAAAATAAAGATATCATTTATATAGAGCAAAAGACCACTAGTTAAATCAAAATGATTAGTTCTTTTTTTCTTTTCCATCCCGATATTTATATTGGAGCCTTGACTAATTCAGATTTAAAAAAAAAAAATCCTAGGACTCGAACCTGAAAACTCCGGTTAAGAGTAGATAAATGGCTAATTCTTATTTGTATTGTTAAAAATATTGTGTTTCCTGACATGAAAATTCAATAATTTTTCCATCTTTCTTTTTCTAAACTCTTATCACATTAGGTATATTAAAGGAAAAAAAGAAAGGGAAGACACTAAAATTTAAACTCACCCTTATTGTCGTGAAACTTTAGTGAAACTTTTACTGATACCACTAAACTCATGATTTGTAGGTTAATTAATTGACACATAATGTTTTTTCAAGAAAAAAAGTTTCTGTGTTTTTATTTATTTTAATAAAATAAATAAAATATTCTCTCCACAGACAAGAAAGTTCAGAATTACTAGTATAATATTTTTACTATATGGTCGAAAAATAAGATTCACCTTCTGATGCGTTTAATATCCAATGGGTCAGTGCTTTGTTCACAGGGACCCACTTCACCGTCCGCGTCATCATCATCTGAATAGGACCCACTTGTAGCTCCCGTAACTGGACTGTCCCTCATCTTAGGCATTATAGTTGGCGTTGGACTCCCAGCTGAGTATAGTATACAAATTCATATGCAAGAAAGAAAGAAAATACGAAAGATAAAGAAACAATAATAATAATAATAATCTGTGTGTTTGGTATGATGAAGAATATTTTTGAAAAATAAATTATTTTCTAGAAAAAATTTCGCTGTTCGGCTGCAGAGGAAACTATATTTTTGAAAATAATTTATAAAAGATTAATAATAATATTAGTAGAACTTTAAAGATTGATAACAATATGTATATATTGGTTGGATCAACCATATGAAATCAAGAGGTTGAAGGAAAAAAGATTGTGGTCCACAATTTTCCTCCTTTTTGTAAAAGATTGAAAAAATATTTTCTGACAACCAATCAAACACCAGAAAATGACATTTTATCGTGTAAAAATTAAACCATTTTCGAAAGAATACTCTGTGTCATGACAAACACACAAATAATATTAAGGAATTGATAGAAAATTTCAGGAAAGAAAAAAAAAAGCAAGGAAAATATATTTTAGAGGGTGAATTTGGATATAAATACCACATATTGAAGATTGTGAATCCACAGTTGCAGAAATGCAGGACTTGGGAGTAAGGTTTGGAGACCAAAGGGGTTTGTCTGTCAGTGCGCAACTTGAGAAACCATTTACCATCTCCTGCATTAGCAAGAAAAAAGATACTAAGTATGCAAAATAAAAAAATAAAAAATAAAAAGGGGCCGAGCATAAAGCATCTCGTATTCATGCAGGATTCGAGGAAGGATTGCACCTTAAAGGGTGTAATGTAGACCAGGGGCGGATCCACCCCTTTTGGAAGGGGTGGTATGGCACCCTCTAAGATGATAAAAAATTTATATACATATGTTGAAATTTTCTTAAACTACGTTAAATATCTGATTCTGCCACCCACGGTCGTAAACTAGGCAAAGGTGACATGACTAATAGACATTTTTGAAAAAATTTTCCGTGTGTAAAATTCAAGTTGAAATTGATCTTGAACCTTGTCCGACTTTCTAATTTCTTTGTGCTTTTTATTTCCTTTTATCCCAGTTATTTCCCTTTGCGGCTTCTATTTGTCATTTATTATTTTTATATTTTTATTTTCTCTATTCTATTATTTTATGTATGGTCTCTAGCAAAAACACTCAAAAAAGAGACTTCAAAACTTTAAAATTATAAGCATTCCGCTTAATCTTAAGTTTATGAGTTTTCTTCTTTCACATCCAAAAAACTTGGGTCTTAATGAGAATTTTGGATTGAGATCAATTTTTTTCCATTTTTTGTATTGCTTCATAAATATTTGTGTTAATATATGGTTCTTAAATATAATTTAAACCTCTTTACTATTAAATTATGATGAAAATTTCATAAATATTGCTTAAAAATTAAATGAGATTAATGGTTTTGGTTTTTGGAAACTTGTAGTTCATTTAATTTTATACTTATGGGGCATAATTTACCCAGTGAAGATATATTTTTTAAATTTTTCTTATTCTGATTAATGTAATTCTCTTATTAAGGATGTTATCTTACTTGTGTAAATTTATTTTTAGTGTACAGAAAAACATATAATTTCCTAGTAAAAATGTTGATTTTACTTGTGTTATTATAATAAAGGTATTATTCCTTATTTAAAATACTAATTACGTTTGTTTTTTGATATTTGAGATGTAATTTTTATATTTGTAAATAAAATATCTATTAGGCTGACCCGAATAAACTCAAAAAAATCGAATAAACGTTCCTAACAAATTCCGCATTAATTATTACAAGGTATATAGTAAAGGAAATTATGGCACCCGCCCTTCAAATTCTAGATCCGCTTCTGATGTAGATAGTCTACCATACTGCAAGTATTAGTGACTACTCCCAGGACTCAACCCGTGAGTTATGGATCACACCGAGACAACACTACCATTACTCCAAAAGTTCTCTTCTAGCTAGTATGCAAAATAAAAAGAAAGGGAAGATTTCTTTGTTGTTTTTTGCAATAGTATGCACTTGTTTTGTCCAATGCGTCACTACTAAAATTTCCTATTCTAACTTATAATAATTATTCAATAAAGTAGAAATGCCTAAACAAAAATGATGGAGTACCACTTATATTGCATCATCAAGAAAGGTATAGATTCAAAAAAAGAAAAAGCCTATAGATGTCTCTTTAGAACTTGAATGGCTATTTCGTTAATAAATTAGGTAGCCCATCTTCTATTGGGAAAAAGGAATTAATACCATATACACATTTGACAAGCTACTGAGCTAATATACAATTACCTTGCTGATATTTTATTTTATTATAGAAATGTCATGTTATTTAAAGACTAAAACAAAATAAAATTCTTTTTATTTACATCTCAGGTAACTGTAACATAGGAAAAGGAATCTTTACACAAATAGCCGGTAGGATTTACAATTTATTTTTTCTAGTCGGTATACATTATACATAAATTATACACTGATTATATATAGTTATATACATATTATACATGGATTATATATATATATATATATACTATATATCCGCCATCTATTTTTTATTTAAGCATTGGGTGAGTGTGCCACTATTTAGCTGAAGTATCCCAGGAGTGAGGTGTATTTAAAAAAAATATTTTGTTTTCTATTATTATTGAATAATTCAAAGGACCTTGGTGTTATTTAACTACTAAAGGACTTCACGAATTTTCCGATTATACTTTTTTTTTTAAAAAAAATTCTAAAAATGTCCCTAGGGAACTTTTAAATTCCTAACCAAGACTATTACTTTCATTCAAGTAAACATTACTTTATTTATTATTTTATACTTCTGTGTGTGGTATGAAAGAGAAAGAGAAAGATATAATTATTTTTTAATTTCTTGTTTTGTCTTTTTTGTGGTTTAGTTTATGATGCTGTCATTCTCAATCTATACCTAATTTTTATAATACAAAGAACTAAGACAATCTCAGCATCACATACTGTCCATACAACTTAATCAAAGGCCTAAATCAATCAATTTACCACTTAAAAAAAGGAAGAAAAAAAATACTTGGAATTGTACAATCAATTTCTTAAACTCAAGTTTTTGTCAGATTCCAAAAATATTCGCCTGAAAGTTAACACAGCAAACCGACCATTCACAGTAACGTGGAAATTCAGTACTTCAATTCACTTTAGTACTTTAGAAAGGCCCTCTAACATTATTTAATTCATTACTTATGGTAGAGTGGTATATATTTTTTCTCGGAATAGGATAATTTTAGTATGGTTAGACTCGTGAGGGTATGAGGATTCTGAAAATGTAAATTTTACCCGATTCCGAGACGTGGGCCCCGGGCTCGGGTTTTACTAATTTCGAGATTTTTGATATTTTTCGAATGTTTTCACTTGGGCTTTATTCTCTTAGCATATTGTGACGTATTCGTTCTGATTTTGGATAGATTCGACGAGCGTGTTCTTAATAAAAATTTCGAGTTTGAACCCTAGGTATGAATTATATTTGTTAGGGAGTGTTTTATCCGAAGAGGAGTCTTGGAAAACGATAAAGTTAGTTGTCTCCCCGGATACTTGTATTAGGGTAGATTGCCTAAATCATACCCCCTTCGGGTACAGTCATACAGTCCTTCCCCGGACCCTGCATGAACATAGGATACTTTGTGCACCGGATCGCCTTTTTTAGAGAGTGTTTTATCCTCCGATATAGAATTTTTTTGACTTGACTTTAATTTACGCGAATTCCAATACAACTACCGGACATTGATCGAAAAAACATATATCACTAATACTTTAGAAAGACCTCAAACCTTATTTAATTCATTAATTTATTGCTTAAAAAGTCACATCCCATTTTTTGCCAATTAAGCACCGTTCCAAATTGAAAGGAATCTTTTGGAAATGTATTTTGAAAATAAAGACGAAAAGGGACTAATATATAAGAAATCATTAAAAATTTCCTAAGCAACAAAGAAATATGAAGTCACAATTTTCCAAAGTTGAAATTTTAGTGAACTCATATGTCCTTATTACCAATTTACCAAAACTTTCTAAAAACTTTAATTTGGTATTTTTTGGCAGATCCTAATAATTTTCTTGTGAAATCCTCAATTATATACGTAAGATAAGATGTATATATTAGTCTTTGGGGTAGCTTCCCAATGATCAAGATGGTATAATTTGAATCATAATATAACGAGTTCATATCCAATTATATCTACATGTCACTGTTAACCTAGTAATATAAAAGCGCAGTCCGGTGCATAAGATATTATGTATTCATGTAGGTTTGACGAAGGACCGCATTTTACGAAGTATGATGTAGACAGACTAGTCTAACAAGTATTATTGGATATTTCCGTGGTTCGAACGCCTAACNATATATATATATATATATCTTTTCTGTAGTTACAGATAAACTTATTTAGAAAAATGATTTTGCACCGCCAATAATAAAGAGTCACGTCCCAAATAAAGATGGCCCCTTTTATTTAATACTTCTAAACATTTCAAAGTAGCTAGGGTCTATTATAAATAATAAACCACCAATTATACTTTATTTCACCCGATCAGATTCCAAATCTTTATAGCATCTTCTCTTTAAATATCAACCCCCCCCTCTTCATTATTCTTGTCCTCCTTCAAATAATAACCATCTCTTTCATTTCATTGCATTTCTCCTCCTTTTTAAAGTTCTATTTTCGTATGTGATTTAAAAAAAAAAAAAAGAAGATTCGCTAGCTTTCATTGTGTTAAAAAAAATATGATCTTATTTAGCAAATATTCTGGTATATATTGATTTTTTTTTAACACCATTAAAAAGTTCGTACACTATCCATATCCTAGAAATTCCAAAAAAAAAAAAAAAAAAAA